AAGGATGAGGAAGAGGCACCGTGCATGGAACTAATACCCCGTTCCGGTCACGAACGTGAACGGTGCGGTTGAAGAAGTTCATCGGGTGATCCTTGCTTCGCAGGCATGACATGCCCAAGATCATGTCGAATTTGGTGTCCAGAATGTCAAAGGACACCGCCTCACTTGCGTGAGGGGCAAAGTACACTGGGACGGCGTCAATGCACCGGTCGATGGACTTGTGCGTATGACCGTCTGCCAGGGTGACTTGCGTAGGATGAGACTTCCTCCGGACACGTGGGCCAAGGCCGGCGCGTACCATGAAGTCCTGGCTGATGTAGTTGCAAGATGCTCCGCAATCGATCAAGGCACTGCAGGTCGCCTCTCCGATCTGAATGCGTATGTATAGCAATGGTGCGTCGATGTCGTCGTACCATTGCGTCTTGAACTCGCGGTCGATCTTCGCGATGAAAGCGTGAAGGTCGACAACCTCTGCTCCGACGTCCATCAACGGAGCTGGTACTGCAGTGTGCAAGTAGTCCCGCAATTGTGCCATAAGCACGTTACAATGCGGTTTCGGCAATCGTCCGGTCGAGGGAACGGGCATCCAGTGAAAGTCCGTGAACGTCAATGGGTCGAGCTCTTCAAGTCTTCACCATGACGTCGAATCCCTGGTGATAGATTGCGGCGAAGCTGCCGAATCGGTTGCCGATGGTGATGAAACCGTGCATGCGATGGACTGTTGCGCGTGGAGCGGTTGGTCCAGAGGTGGAACCAAATGGACAGCATAATCCTCGTAAGTATACCGAGGACTTGCGACATTCGCATCCTCCCCAGATGTGCAGGAGGCCGCTAGCAAGGCGGCCGAATCTGGCGGAGTAGAAGGTGGAGTCGCCTCACCTTCCGCGGAGCTCAGTTTCCCGAGCTGAGGCGGGGTCGCACATCCTCCTTGCCCTGATCTTGGCACAGGGAGGTCTTGTGCTTGGTGTTGTTGCACCAATAGCAGCTGCCGTAGCGGCCGCGGACCTTGTACTCCGCCTCGGTCAAGCCAAACTTGACCCATGGAAACTGTCCTGGCTGTCCATTTCCGGCCCTCGATGCGGATTTCGCCTTCCCATTGTTACGGGACTTGTTGGTGCTTCGCGGCTGGACAGCGGCCACTTGATCTCCGTCACTTGATATTGGAGTGGCTGCTGGGTTATCTCCACTGTCCTGCTGGACTGCAGCGAAGTGCTGCTGTCGCGGACCAGTTCGTGCCTTCTCCACATAAGCCGGCTGCCATGTTGATTTCTCGTGTGCAGCTGACCTGTTGGTCTTGATGATCTCCCTTGCTTTGTCAATGATCTCCGCGAAGGTTGAGTACTGCTCGCGATCACCAAGAGTCTGGCTCAATGCCGCACAAGACCTGTTGTAGAACTCATGGCGTAGATGCTCGAATGGTAGGTTCAGATTGGGCACAGCCGCAATCTTCTGCCACTCCGTGAGCTAGTCCCGTGTTGCTGTGTTGCCCTGTGACATGGTGAACAAACGGTTGATGGCGAGTGTCGGCGCGTCGTCGACGATGAACCGCTTCTTCCACAGCCGTATTAGTTCCTCCCATGTGATTACGTCCTTCAAGTCTGGTACGTCGACGCCGTGGGAGGTTGCTAGGTGGCTCAACCACGTCTGGCATCTGCCCTTTGAGTTCAGGAACAGGGCGCCGATGTACGCATGCTTGGCTACTGGCAGAATCCTGAGTTGCGTTGTGAATGCTTCCCACCAGAGGACGGGATCCTGCTGCGTGTAGTCGTCGAACCTCTCMAGGTTGAAAGTTGGCATCTTGTACATCTTCGGATTGTCGTCCGCGTTCGTCGAC